GCATTGTTAAAACACGGACGCTGTAAAATAAATATTGACTTGAAATCCTGGGATTGAATATACTGACGAATGCGAGTTGATGCGCTCAATGGAACTAACAGTGCGTAGCAGAATCGATTAACTTTGAAGTATCTTTTATTGGTGTGTGAATAATGAATTCGTAAAGCGGAAACACTAAAACTGCAAATCAAGCACTGAATTCATAAGCTGCAATAAGTACTTAGCGACTAGACATAAGCATAGTGAAATAGATTCATAATACGAGTTTAATAAGCTATCAATAAATATCTAAATCTATCTAAACTTAAGTCGGTGATTAGTCCAAATATTGAAACTCGATGCTCAATAATGGATCAAGCGATTGGTTCTGACCATCTTAGGTACAATTTGGCTCTACTCATTAACACCTAGCGAGATTCGATCCCGCAACTGTATTATCGACATGTAGTTGTAATTTTCTTCCTGAAAATGGATCTATTAATATTTTTTAAACTTCTTTACATTTAATGTTTCTACGAGAATATAGTCTTAGCTAAGATTTGCTTCACATTAGTATTTTAAAGCTAAAAATGTTGTTTAAACTTGGTAACGCGGGTCTCGCGTGCGCCCGCGCGTGTACTTATACACAATAAACTCGATTTGCATTGCATACCAGTTCGCCTTATTTTCTCTCGTTGCGCATCGTAAACTAAGTATTGAATGTCAGATTACGAGGCCTAATTTTGGTAGGATCATCGAATGTAGGTATTTCATAATCTACTTTTGAGAATTTTAAGCAAGATTTTGTGTTAAAAATGGTTATTTACCAAACCTCAAATTATAAATATTATGTAGTTTATTTCGATGAGGTTAAACACTTTTTCGGCAAGCAGGAGCATAATAATAATTATGCTTTCAATAAATGCCAATAGGACTGTGTTTGAAACAATACAATTTTAAATATTTGCAGGTTAAATATTATGGATCTTTTTGCTTCTCAGTCTCATTCGTAGGTAGTGGGTAAAGTAGGTATTCAATATATTTCGAGAACGGCGCTATCCTAGATACTTCTGCGTAGTAACGTAAAGAGATACCGCGGACTCTAAAAGACATCTCAGTGGTCAATTTATGACAAATTCTCTCACACTTATTGGGGTATAAAACTCCAAGTTTGGAAATTACAGCGAAACACGAACGTAATTTAATTTATTTCATCTTGTCTAACTGACGTTGGGCACAAATTACTATGTGAGCGTAAATCGAGCTTCCAATAAGTTGATAAATTCCCAAGATTAGGCGTATTGGACATAAATTTTAATGAACCGAACAAAATTGGCTGGACTCAAATGTGAATTAGAGTAAGCTGATGTTAATTTGGTTTTACGGCTGTCTTACAAAATGAGTTTACGAAAATGTCGGCACGCGTTTCGTACCTAAGGATGCAATTGAAAAGTATTTTTTAATAGAGCCGGGTTGAAGTTCACAGTAATTTGATTGCGAAGCTAATTTTGCTAATATGTACGTTCTGCCAAAGGTTATCATTATACCTAATAAATACATACATACCTACTTACCCTTTTGCGTTATTGCGTATTTTATTTTGTATTTGGAAGCTCTTGTTGAAGGTTGAATTGGTTGCCTAATTATGATTATAGTAATAAATATTATATTTATTTGTCCTTTATTTTCTTCTTCAATAATGTAAACTTATAGGTCCTATATGAACAAATAAATATTAAAATATCATTTCGTAAAAAGCCGGTCTTTGATAATTATGCCTACAACAATGCATCTAAAATGACTTTACTGAAATGACCTACTTTCGTTCGTTCGTTCGTTTCAGCCAAATGACGTCCACTGCTGGACAAAGGCCTCCCCCAAGGTTTTCCACAATGAACGGTCTTGCGCTGCCCGCATCCAGGCTCTTCCCGCGACCTTTACCAGATCGTCGGTCCACCTAGTAGGAGGCCTGCCCACTCATAAGAAGGCTCAAGGTCACCCAAAGGGCGATGGAGCGGGCTATGCTCGGAGTTTCCCTGCGTGATCGAATCAGAAATGACCTACTTTATTCCCTCAGAAATGTGATCTATGATTATGTGGACTTTTAAAAGTTTAAGAATAATGGATTACGAAGCGCAAGTGCTCCTTCACCTTAACATCTGTAATGACTTACTTAAGGCTTACATCGCTTGAATTATACTTCGCAAAATTATATGCATTACTTCGTTAAGACAGAAAGAAAAACATCACCTAAAGAAAGATAAATGTGTATAATGATTGGTGTGAAAATTACAGTGTCTCAAAGGTTACCGAGTGTCTCACCAATTATCGATGGATACTCATTAAAACACTCAGTTAATTTTCTGTAATGCTGTAAAAACGGAAACAATTAAAATTAAGCACTCCATCTTATTACTTCGAACACCCATTTTCTCCATGGATATGTATTTAAGCGCATTTATTTGGAGCTATCTCTTGCACTTTAATTTTATGTGCCCATTAAATTTCTCGATTAAAACCTCCCAAAAAGGCGTCCGAATGATACAATCAATGACAGTTACAAAAGTACTTAAATTTAACATCAGTGAGATCTTTTAAACTTTTAAGACATCATTATCATTAATATGGACGATAAGCTTAAAATATTGAATACATTCCATCGATCAATATAATTAAGTTCGACTGTTTCAAAATGACACCGTAGTTACGATTCTTTTGGTTAATGCATTGATCTTAATGTATTTGATTGATCAATCCTAATGTATTTGATTGTTTTTAATTAATAGAAGTTAAGTGCTGTATTATTGAAAAGAAAAGTGGGTGTTAAGTTGTTAAATGTACCTATTACTTTTCATTCAAATTAATTAACAACTAAATACAATAAAGAACTTATTTTTAAATATTACTATTTCAATTAAAGTTTTCATTTCAATGTCAAAGTCTTATAACTACTATTCATATTATATGGCTATTTAATTTACGATTGTAATTAAATTAATTTTATTTACTAGAAGGAACTATGTATTTGAAAAATCATTGATTAATTTATTATTTTCTAACATATTTTTAGCTTTACCTAAAAAAAAGTTTTCATATTTATCATGTCAATATAAAAAGCACCAGGTTTTAATTAATAAATAAGTACTATTTATTGCCTTTGCAATAATGTTTTTACTTCATTACATATCAAGCAAATGTACAATCACGAAATCAATTAATAAATATGTTCTAGTTGCAAGATTGCATGCAATTGTATTATTTATCAAAGTAAATTCTTTAAATAAAACTTAGTGTATTTTTATTTAGAATCCAGGCTATTTATTTATTTATGAATAATTTACTTATTCCTAACGTTACTAAAAGTGTTTTTTATTGTTAACTGTTAACCACACTTTTCCGTACCCTTTCTGTGGAAGTCATTAAGAATATTCTGCGAAAAGCTACACGTATTTGTGTCGGTGTAGTTCCTAGAATTGCGTTCTTCAAATATTAGTTATTGCCAATATTTTCAAAGTGTGGTCTACAGAGCCTTAGGGTTCCATAGATAATGCCTCTAAGAGGGGTACTCAACTCTTCATTTCTCTTAAATTATTATAATATATGATTTTCTTATTCATAGTAACGGGAAAGTGCTTTACAATTTTCCTAGTTGGACTACAAAGGCTCAAGTAGCAAACTCAAGACAAGCTATTGACGATAAAAAAATATATAATTATGTCATAGCGCAGGTGTATACTATACAGGTTCAAAAAACTTCAAATCATGTAAACAATACGCAAGTAGTTAATTACAACGTATCACATAAGGAATATTTAAGTGCATGATTATTTTCCAGAAAAACTATTTTTTTTGTTTCTAAAGTCTTGAAGAGGTTTGAGAGAACTACGTATTATGTCATTACTATACGACGTTTTGAAGGGTTAAATTGGGTCTCTTGAAGAGGTTTGAGAACCACTGACATATTGCAAAGGACCAGTTTGTTTATCCGTATCATCTCTATAACTAATGTCACGTTGCAAAATGCGCTAACAGGCTTTGTTATCATCCTATCAAATAGCGTTAAACGCAATTTCAAGCTCTATTAACTTATATTGTGATGCGTCAAAAAGATTGGACTTGCTAACCTTTCTTTATCAGTTCGGTTTCAACACTTTAGTTAGTTATGGATGACCACCACACATTTAAAATACGCACATTAGCCAATATGTTTTTGGACTAATTTAGAAGGTCTTTGGTTTTGAAAGTCGCCCAATTTATCATTTGGAAAACATTAACGTCACATTTAGGTTAGTGCGAAATTGAAAATCTAAAATATAAATTAGTATAATTATGAGTTTTGTCTAAAATGCCACATAGTATCCAAAATTGCCAATAAACAATTATTAATATTACAATTAACTTTAAAACAAATACAATAATAAACACTCACTCATGCAGTTATTAGTACTTAAAGCAATATTCTCTGATTCTTAACATGAACACCTAGTTTTTACCAGTATATTTGATTTATAAAAAATATCTGCTGTATTTAAAAACGCCTCGTTTCGTAATGTAAGCCATTCCTCATAACATCTGCAATTTTCGGCCATAATCTTCGTTATATGTAAATGTTAAACTATGCAAAGCCGGTGAATGTAGTGCCGTTGTTTTTGTTATGAATCAAATTAAAATATTAACGTAATTATTGTAGCTGCTAAGGCCTGTATTAAGAAATAAACTACTAACAGTATGAATCTATACTCAATACAATATAGATCCATATTTGTGATTGGTATAAGTTTGGAACTCGATATATCAAATGAAATGAAATCAAAAATGGTTACGGCTAAGTACGAGTATTTTAGTCTGATTAGGCGTATCTACGTATTTTAGAATTTTCTATGTTATTTTGAAATATGATATTGAGCTCGTCTATCGTCATTTTATAACAGCTAAGCTTAAGATAATTAAGAAAACTAATGTATAATTAATATACCTAATATGTAAAACTGTTTGCTAATTTATTCATATCTTTGTTTCAGGGTGACTCTACGAATGATAGAGTAACTACGCGTTAATAAAATCAACATGAGGTTTTTGGCGAGGTTACAGGTGTGTATTTATGATGCATTTTATGTAATCTAAGTTTAAATCTAAAAAAAAGGTACTTAGGTATATGCAGTTTTCAATCATCCTCATAATCATTATTGTCAAATTATTTCAGTGCTTTTGGATGTAAAGGAATGCTAGACGTAAGAGCTTTACCTGGCTTTTTCTTCAAATAATAGCCTTAAGCAGAGCTTTAAAGCCTCTCTTTTAGTCAAAATTCATATCTACTCTGTGTAAAAAATGGAGTGGACATTGATTACTGGTACATTTGGTTGCTTCCACCGGTGGAACACAATATGAAAACAAAACACAATCGAAACAAATGTTACAGATTATTCAAACAGAAGCCGATTCCCTCGGCTTAAGTGATTACAAAATAAATCACGGCCCGTTAAATTATTTACAAGGGCCATTCTTAAATTTGTGCCAATTTTTTTTTTAAAATTAAAGATTTTTTTTTTGAACTTTTTGCGATGNAACAGTTTTAAATGAAGCTGATAATAAAATCGTCAAGATTCCCTGATAACGCCTTAATACGTCTGGTTTTAGCGTATCTTTGGAAAGATGTTACAAAAGTGTGTGCCAACTCTACATAAACAATGGACCACGGTAACTTGAGCTACGCAACGCTTGCTTACCATTTAATAGACAAAATTTCGTGTAAAATCTTGTATTTTTACTTAACAACTCAATGTGTCGTGGGAATACAAAACAAACGAAGGTCGCAAGATTAAGATAGGTGATCTTGATTTGGCTTTAATTGATTTAGAATTAGTTTAAAAAGCGGATGCTTTTGCGTACTCTTGGGAATGGATTCAAGGGGGGCCTAAGTTATCTCTCCATGTTAATCATAGCGTTGGGCAATGGCGTTAAATCAATGTTCTTGGGATTTGCTACAAATAAATTGCGTTCGCCTACTGTTGCTTTGCAAACAGATAAGTATTAGATCATGCGGAACTTATTAGCTTTGACAGACACTCATATTTCAATGTAATGAAGTAATTGGGATACAGGGAGCGCAATGAGCGCCCCCATTACTTATTATGAGGAATAATGTTTTGCGTCTAATATTAACTACGAAATGAGTTCCGGTTTTAGGTACCTACATTGCACTCATTACAGCAACTGTTTCAAACCCTATACATTGTCTGAAAAATAGAAATTTGATTAATTTGGTAGTACGTACTATAGTAATCTGATCTAAAGTTCTATTTCTAATGGGCACATTTTATTAAGAATACTATGTAGCTTCTCTGTAGCTTTTTAAGTAATTTTGCTTTGTACCAAATGGCAGCTTCTTTTGCAAGATACAGGTTAAAATCGCGTTTCTTAGACAACTCAGTCTTAACTTCACGAAGAGTCAATTAGTTCACCCATAACTCCAGCTAAGATGATACTCATTTGGAGTCAATTGCTTAAATTCTAAGTGAGCACTCTTAAACGAGTAATTGTGTTGCAAAAGCTCGTGCCTGAAAGCTTAAAGCATACTTTCGATACCACCCACCAAGCTAGTTATTGGTCGTACCTTCAGTCTGCAAGATTTTCGTGCAGTGAAGTAAATATTTCGTTATATTTTACGAGCACGTAAATAAAGTAAAAATAAATTGAAACGTCAATATTTTTGGTTCGCAATTTGTTAAATTAGTATAATACAGGTTACTGATTTAATAAATTACTACTACAATACCAGGTTTAGCAGGCTTATCATGAGTTTATATTAGGTGCTAGCTATGTAGTGTATGCTAGATTGTACAATGTACAGTGCCTCTAGGAATTACTTTCAAGAACTAAAATCTTCATACATGTTTTGACGCACTCGCTAGCGAAAACACCTACCTACTAACGTAAAATCATGGTAAGCTCACTGCATCCCCACGAAAACCTTATAAGGAGCCGAAGCTTCCACGTCGTGGATATTCTTCTTCTTCTCAGTACAGTTTTATCGGAGTGGTCGTGGTCATTATTGTGAATCACGATGATGTTCCTCGTAATACGACGCCATTCCTCGCGGACTGCAGCTTTCCGGGAACTTTCGTTAACCGAACACTTAGTTGCGGCCTTGATCTGGTCCGTACATCTCATTGGTGATTTACCACGTGGCCTGGTGCCCTCAACTTTTCCCTGCACTACGAGACGCTCTATGGAGTCATTACTGCCGTGGATATTAGCCCCTCATTATTATCGGCCCCTTTAGTTATATTACTTTTTATTCTTTCGCAGTTGCTGACGTGCCTGATGGTATGCGCACCATGCGCAAACGCGATCATGGTGAAGTTTGGGACCAATGACGGTCCAATCGTGCCACCTACGCCGGAGCCGACGCTGCCGACGCCGCAGCCGTACCGTGCCCCGGCGCCTGTATGGGAAGAAAAGTCCAATGACACGCCCGACCCTAACGCACACTGGTAAGAAACCAATTTTGATCCAAAGTCTTGAACTTTGATGCATGATGCATGTTTAGTATGGGATGTTATGGATATCCGTAACCGTAACCGAAACTTTCGGATATCCGAAATAAAAAAATATCCGTAACCATAACCGATTCAAAGGTTTAGGATAGTTTCGGATGTAGGCAGAGTGAAGCAAGTCCCTACGCTTAATGATTGCATTTTGAAGTACATGAGTTTTTCCCCATAAGATAAAAGCTTCTTTGTGAGATCAAAAGAAGTGACAGATGCCAAAGAAATCTCTTCTGTACCCATTCTATGTATTTGTAAGGCATGAACTGTGTTGGACAACTATTGGGATTTGCATTCTATACTTAGCACATAATTATCCGTAACCGAAACTTTCGGATATCTGAAATAAAAAAATATTCGTAACCGTATCCATAACCGAAACCACTTATCCATAACATCCCTATTTAGTACAAACATCTCGTATTGTAGCCGTGTAGAGAAGAAAAGCCCAATGATACGTCTGACCCTCATGCGCACCGTTACGAAACCCATTTTACTCCGGGAACCTATTTCAGTAAAGTGTTCTCTTTTGATGTATGTGAAATCTAATGTATTGCCTCAAATGTACAGTGTACACAACGGTATAACATTGTTTTGATTGAAACATTTTTATAGTACCAACATCTAAGTAGCTCAGCTGTTAGAGGCGCTAAGCAATAATTATTAGGTCCTTTGCTTGCTCAATTTTATTGAATAAATAATATTTCGGTAAACTCATGCTCACATTTGTTGATAAAATAATTTTATTATTCGGTTAACTCATGCTCACAATTAATTCTTATACCGTGATCTTGACACTTTATTGTTACATGAAAATCACCATCTATAGTCTGATTATACTGATTTATTCATATCTTCAACATTCCTTCATATTATTAACTCATTTCTGTCAACGCCTAGCTACTTTGCGATCCTTGACTTCTAATAACGATCGAGAATATTGAGATAGCCTTTTACATATTTTGTGCCAGATCCATATGTATTTTCGTATTATAAAGTGTGAATTAATAGGCTTGTAGACCAAATGACTTGTTTATTTATGGGTTATTTATAACCAAAGACTATTAAGTCATATTTGTTCCATTCATAGGTTAATAGATACAAGTGGGACGAAATAATCATCTCGAAGATTTTCCTTCGCATTGGGCATAAAATTGTGGGTCTATAGCCTAAGGGAGGAAGTAAAATACTTGTGATTTATTGAAGTAAATTGTATGGTGCATAGATAATTCAGCAAAAAAAAAATTTAACAGGTTTGCTTGATAGTATCAGTTTGCTTGATATATTTCTTGCAACACATAATAAGCGATATCCCTTTACTAACTACTAAGATTTAAAACATCCTCAAACATATTTCTACAATATTTTTAACCATTCTTCCGCAGGAGACCTCAGCTATTCATACCTCAGCCAAGATACACTCAAATCATCTACAACTCGCCGCCACCCACTCCTGTGCCTCTCAACAATGCGCAACGATTCGTCCAGTCCTACATTCCGAGTCAAGACCCAAGACCGGTAAAAGCTGAACCAGTGAAGAACTACTTCACCCCATCCCAGATACTCAGCTCTCAGAGTCTACCCGGTTTTGGGATCAGATACTTCGTGCCGACGTACATTACGGACCAGAAGAACCGGTTCAAGGCAGAAGATGCGAAACAGAACGAGATAGCGACCAACGAAGTGAACACTGGTAACGAAGACTCCAGCAGCGATCTTCAGTGGAAGTATGAAAAGGATCAGGCGAAGAGGACTGTCAGACATACGCAAGAAGTAAGTTGACGTATCAAAGTGTAGGTTTAGATTTATTATACAATTTATTTGAATCAATTAATCTGTCAGCTAAAATCGCATCATAAATAGATATGTGTTCTTGTCTATTCGAGTTTGAATTTTATCTCACAGGCATACCTGTTTATATGGAATTCCAAACCATATTCAGTTACTCATACATTTTGCTACTTCTTGCTTAAAAACTTGATCTTAATATACTCGTATTTAAACATAAACAAATCATGCTTATGAAAGCCTGCTATATTATTATTAATAATGTTTTTTTTCTAGAGCGTCGTACTTCCAGTAGTTTACCAGTGGCCGGCGTACTACCCTTCCCGGCATCTGTAGTTTTAGTCTAGTTTGTAATTTAAGTCTAGCCAGAATTGAAAATTTTGAAATGCAACAGGAATCTGAATTATTTGAACTTAATTTCGGGGGTCAATAATGTAGCTGACAAAGTAAGAGAACAATATTTTCTCGAGTTTCAAACCCTGTGGTTTTTAATTCTGGCGGGAGCCATACTGTATAAATAAACATCGCAGATCAAACAACTTAAGGTAGCTAAGTATTTAAACTAATCGCTGTGATGTCATTAGTTAGTTATATTGTAAGATAAAAGTGCCAGAAGAAATATTTTATATCTATGCAACTCGAATAAACACAAAACTGTTCGTTATGTTGTTTGCTAACTAAATCTAAACTAATATTATAAAGCTGAAAAGGACATTGGGAACTTTAATATGAGAAAATGCCCCACGGCGGACAAAGATGAAACGTATTTTATTTCAAAGCTTTATACTTGTAGGTATATTCACTTAAATCGCTATGTTGTGAGATATGGGAATTCTGAGATATGACGAGTCTAAGTTGAAAATATATTTGTCTAAAATGATTTGATATTTTTACATGTTATGTTGTTTGGCATTGCAGAGTAACCAATAAAAGTAATTATCCTGCTTTCGCCTCCGAGNCAATGTCATTTGGTTTATTTGTTTGGTTGAACGCGCTAATCTCATAAATTACTGGTCGATTTGAAAACTGTTTTTGTTTTGGATAGCCCATTAATCTACGAAGGCTTAAACTTAAGGGCGGAACAGTAAAGAAAAATGTTGAAAAAACGGGAAATATTATTCAAACTATTTTCACGCGTACGAAGTCGCGGGCACAGCTTACTAAAATTTAAATTTTGAAACCACTGAATTAGTTGAGATGTTATCAATTTGGAGTGAAACAAAGGTGTCAGGTACGATGTTGTAGCGGTGTCGCAGATCTGATAACCGAAAATTAGGACTGGGTCATAATTATCTTGAATCCTTTAATGTTCATCGTTTTTAAGAATGGAACTTAACGCAACTAATTCATTGTCTTCAGTATTTTTAAAACAATTATAAAGCAATCCTTATCCTTCAATCAGCACTGTAGAACTTCAGTTTATCCGATGAAATTTTAATTAACATTTTATTGTTTGACAAGTTCGTATTTTAACTGCAACAGCTTTTGGCGCCATTAAAACTTTCAAGTGTTATTATAACAAGCAATTTTATGATCTTAATTGATTAAATTTTATATAACAACCAAACTGACGTGAAACTATTGCAGTTAAAACGAATAAGTATCGATAGAAGTAGTTATTAGTTTGTAAATATAAAAAGTAACGTTAATTGGATTAATTTCGGCTGTCGGCAGTATTGTAAAGGAACATTAAGTTGATTTTTAAATAAGTGATATTGTTTTGGATGATAAAAAGGTAATGAAAACGAAAGAGGTTCTAGAAATGGCTGCAATAACTTCCGAGAAGTTCGCAAATCACATAACAGTAATGATGGTAACCTTTAACGACAATTCGACTTCATACTGCCAACAATCTAAATGTTACATAAAATGTATTGTTCGGCCCATAATGACAATGTACTTCCACATTTCACTATGCCATTTGCCAGTCAATGGTATCGTGCGAGCATTGATAATAGCTGGAGTAATTATGAATACGTCTTTGTAGAGCAAAGCAAATACCGTCTCTATACAGGGTGTTGATTTCAATAATTAAGTGGCTTATTATTTCAATAATTAAGTGGCTTATTCTGATCGCGAATCAGTAAAAAAATTTAAAACGAACTTTAACTTTAGTTAGTCAAAGAAAAATACCTATTTACACTACCTACTTTACGTGGCTTCCTTCAGTAGGCTATCCGATATGATAAGCGAGCGATCCGCGTAGCTTGATGGTGCCGCAGTGTAAACTATTGCAGTTTTGAGAGCCACAGTAGGCAAGTTGATTTCACACGAAAAATATTCGCTAAAAATTCCACTTTCGTTTGTAATTTTTTTTGGTGGATAATGCTAGAGCTAGATACTAGAGCACCTAAATAAATATGGCGAGGATTGAAATCAACACCCTGTATTCAGAGACCGTGACAAATAACTTTTTAGCTTATTTTGAAAACCTATTTGCCATTTATGCGACTTCAAAGGAATTCTTCGCAAAAAAAAAAATTCGCTAAAAATTCCACTTTCGTTTGTAATTTTTTTTGGTGGATAATGCTAGAGCTAGATACTAGAGCACCTAAATAAATATGGCGAGGATTGAAATCAACACCCTGTATTCAGAGACCGTGACAAATAACTTTTTAGCTTATTTTGAAAACCTATTTGCCATTTATGCGACTTCAAAGGAATTCTTCGGTCGTTAGTAACTTTCCCCTCACATATTGGTTGACCGACTAGATAATAATATATTGTACAAAGAAAATCACGAAGACACTTTCCTACATTTCACTTTTGTATTGCCGTTTTAAAAAGAAAGTTAGTCTTATCCAATATTTCTTAAGTCTAAGTTTGTATAACTTACTATTATTTTCATAATGAAATTAGTTTTATAATCAACTCCAGTGCATTTTGGTTGAAATTTATCGTTTATTTGAAACTTACAAAAAGTTGTTATGTTTTCCTTAATATTTTTATGTGTGTGTATTTACATATTTTTATTTGTTTATACATTAGCTGTAANACATTCTCAATTTAATGCTTGTAAATATGTAAAATAAAATACATTTTTTATTGAAATACATTATGGCTTCTCATTTGAATTTGACTCTAATAAAACGCAACTATTCTCATAATCGAACTATGAAGATATTATAAAAGGGTGCATTCTTAATAATTAATTATTTACAGCTGTTAATAAGTTTAATTTCTTAGGTTCAATGTGTGACATTATAATTTGGTATTTCAAGTGTGAATCAGAACATGTCATAACGTAAACAGGAAACATTCCATAGGATATTGAGTCCATATCTTTTGATCGCTTTTATTAAATGTCAAAGGACAAATTGCACCTTTAAAGCAAAGCCCATACAAATTAAACGCTTTAAACGGCACTCTGTAATTTCACCTCATTGGTGTTACATTGAAGATAAATGGGATTCGATAATACGAAGGCGCTAATAAATTAATGAGAGCTGTTCGCTTACACTTGGAATTTAACTTGGTGCGAAAAAAAGGCAATTAATGTTAATTTAAGCAACTGCTTTACCCATGTCATATTAGTACTGGATCCTGAAACTCTAACGAGTTCAAACAACATTGCCGCACTAGTAAAATATTTATAGCTCACGCTAGAATTTCTTTAGCAATTTTTGGACTCTTGACATTTTCAGTACGCGCAATGACACTGGCAATAGGCCAATGACAAGACGCGTGTCTCAAGATCAGTGATCGCCATCGCCGACGCGATCTGCACGCGTTGGTTTGGCTGAAGGCTGAAACTTTAGAGCTACATTATAGTATTATTATTATGTCGATGTGATTGTTGATCAAATGCAATAAAAATGTACCTACACCTATAGTTTGATGCTGAACTTATAAGCTCTTTTTGGGTCTACTTACCTCATCCAAGCTTCAAGCATGAACAGCCCTTTATTTTTCAATTTTAATATTTCGAGATGAATATTCAAAAAAGATTTTCCATTTAGATAGGTTAGAATAATTACAAGAAAGTTTCTAACAACTCTATTAAAATAAAAGATTGATCAGCAGAAATATTACTATTTTCAAGTGGTATTTAATAAGCATTCAGAACTTATTTCTCAATTTCTCCGGTGTCTGGTTTCAGGAAGCTTCATAGTGAATTTCAATGAATACTGGGAAAGTAACATAAATAAATCAGTTAGATTTACTAGACATTTTGTAATTTATTTTATTTGTAGTAAAGTTCTCGAGTGGCCACCACGGGCCGGAAGACGTAGCGTGAGCAGACCCCCCACTAGGTGAACCGATGATCTGGGAAGGTCTCTGGATGAACCTGGATGAGGGCTGCGCAGGACCGGTTGTTATGGAAATCCTTGGGGGAGGCCTTTGTCCAGCAGTGGACCTCATTTGGCTGAACCGAACGAAGTAGGTACTTTACAATTCAAAAGTTATTACGGAAAATACTAAGTTTAACCTAAACCAAGATTTAGAAAATTTGATGAAATATTGAACAGCAAAGTTTTTGTTATGAATAATAGTTTTGGCTAGAATAAACCAAAGCATCTACGCAACTTTTTCATCATGGGAATCTAGTTATTATAAACTAGGACAAAAGCTTGAACGCAACGTTGCGAAAATGTTCAGCTGCTCCAAGCTCACTATCATTAAAAGTTATCTTACTTACTTTGCAATATTAGGACCCATAATCATTGACTGCACTGTAAAGTTAATGTTTCTAAACGTCAGTGTAACAATAATCTCTTTAATATAACGTTAATTAAGTTACTTCCAATTTTAAAGCCGTACCTTAATTTCTTATTTCATATTTAAGTACAAAATCACCTTCTGCGTTGTTATTACTCGTACCTAAGTACTCGCTGACTTAAATAAAAAACAACTTAATTTTTTCTCGACTAAATACTCGTTATTTTATTAAATAATAATACCTACTATTGTAGGTACAAACAAATTGTCTATTTTTAAGAATAAAATAAAAACCAGTAAAAAAACTTAAAGCTTTGGCCTTGAAGAGTCTCATAATCTTATTACACTTATGTCTTTTATTATGTATGTATATTTTTGTGTGTACCATTCATGGCGTTTATCTATTCAAGTAATGTTATTCGTTATCTGTTCCTAACCTACGCTGAGTTTGATTGAGACTCGGTAATTGGTGTGAAAGTTAGAACAATTTATTTAACTAATGCTAAACTTCGTAGTGTGGACACTGCCTAAGTTTCCGCAAATTACAAGCACAAGAAATAAATGAGATATCTCAGCAGAGTTTTTGAGATTATTTGAAGCGATTCAACTTATTTTATGTGGCTTATTATATCACGTTAAGCCAACTGCTTAATTGGCCTACATTTCTATACCGAACAAAATGCCCCGTAACTAATGTGAGAAATCTTTACCGACGCCATCAACGATTATGATCATAATTATTGTTTAGTTTGTAAGTAAGTTTATCATTATCTCTTATTTATTTATACAGTAAAAATTTAACAGAACACCATTGTTTGGACTCATACTTGTTGCAGCATCTTACTTTAACAAACGTCAAATATCTGTCAAACTCCAGCTTTTTTGTTATGGATATGTTAATAACTTCCTGTCTTTTCTGGCAGTTATTAATAAATCCATAACTTAAAAGCAGTTATGATTCTTTAGCCGCCATTTAGTTCTGCACACTTGAAGCAAGCCTTAAAATTTTACAAAGTTAGAAAGGAAAATGTGTATTTATTGAATTAATTATTAATATTTTACAAAATCAACTTACTTCATGTGAAAGTTGAAAAAATACCTTTTTTTTGGTATATGACAACATGACAAAATGTTTATAGATACTGAGCAGCATCGGTTTGAAAATTTTGCCGCTTTTTTCTGCTCTAGCTCAAAATTAGATTTTGTCATTTAGCGGCCTTTTAGCTTATAGACGGCAGTCAGTGATCGCCATCGCCGACGCGATCTGCACGCGTTGGTTTGGCTGAAGGCTGAAACTTTAGAGCTACATTATAGTATATTATTATGTCGATGTGATTGTTGATCGAATGCAATAAAAATGTACCTACCTATCTATACCTATCTTTTTGGGTCTACTTACCTCATCCAAGCTTCAAGCATGAACAGCCCTTTATTTTTCAATTTTAATTTATTTTGTTGTGAATACCTATTCAAAAAAGATTTTCCATTTAGATAGGTTAGAATAATTACAAGAAAGTTTCTAACAACTCTATTAAAATAAAATATTGATCAGCAGAAATATATCTACTTGCAAGTGGTATTTAATAAGCATTTAGAACTTATCTCTCAATTTCACCGGTGTCTGGTTTCAGGAAGCTTCATAGTGAATTTCAATGAATATTGGGAAAGTAACATAAATAAATCAGTTTGATTTATTAGACATTTGTAATTTATTTTATTTGTAGTAAAGTTCTCGAGTGGCCACCACGGGCCTTTGAAGGCTTTTTATTGGCTAGAATAAACCAAAGCATCAACGCAACTTTTTCATCATGGGAATCTAGTTATTATAAACTAGGACAAAAGCTTGAACGCAACGTTGCGAAAATTTTCTGCTGGTCCAAGCTCACTATCATTAAAAGTTATCTTACTTACTTTGCAATATTAGGACCCATAATCATGGACTGCACTGTAAAGTTAATGTTTCTAAACGTCAGTGTAACAATAATCTCTTTAAAATAACGTTAATTAAGTTACTTCCAATTTTAAAGGCGTACCTTAATTTCTTATTTCATATTTAAGTACAAAATCACCTTCTGCGTTGTTATTACTCGTACCTAAGTACTCGCTGACTTAAATAAAAAACAACTTAATTTTTTCTCGACTTAATATACTCGTTATTTTATTAAATAATAATACCTACTATTGTAGGTACAAACAAATTGTCTATTTTTAAGAATAAAATAAAAACCAGTAAAAAAACTTAAAACTTTGGCCTTGAAGAGTCTCATAATCTTATTACACTTATGTCTTTTATTAAGTATGTATATTTTTGTGTGTACCATTCATGGCGTTTATCTATTCAAGTAATGTTATTCGTTATCTGTTCCTAACCTACGCTGAGTTTGATTGAGACTCGGTAATTGGTGTGAAAGTTAGAACAATTTATTTAACTAATGCTAAACTTCGTAGTGTGGACACTGCCTAAGTTTCCGCAAATTACAAGCACAAGAAATAAATGAGATATCTCAGCAGAGTTTTTGAGATTATTTGAAGCGATTCAACTTATTTTATGTGGCTTATTATATCACGTTAAGCCAACTGCTTAATTGGCCTACATTTCTATACCGAACAAAATGCCCCGTAACTAATGTGAGAAATCTTTACCGACGCCATCAACGATTATGATCGTAATTATAGCTTAGTTTGTAAGTTTATCATTATCTCTTATTTATTTATACAGTAAAAATGTAACAGAACACCATTGGTTGGATACATACCTACTTAGGCTGAGTTGCAGCATCTTACTTTAACAAACGTCAAAAATCTGTCAAACTCCATACAAAAAGCACCGGTTATGTTACGGTTAAAATAAGGTTAGTCCAGTCAATGAATGCCTTAACGACGGTATAGAGAGAAAACCGTGGAACACAATTTCTGACCTCGGAACTTTATTTAGCCTAGTTAGGTGGTAAACATAGCAAAAGTCCCCGTCCTCAGCCCTTGAGCCGGCGGGGAGAGGGGGGTCTAAAGGTATCACTTTTCGGTTTTTCGCTTAATCCTCGGAAACTATGCGTCCTAGTGACATGACTACTATGAACCAAAAAAAGCTTATTCAATTTGCTACAGGTGAGACCGTCAATTTTTTCTATATCTTGTATAGTTTTTACGGCATCTGCTCTAGAAGGTCTGTAAAATTGGAAATTTTATTGTTGTCTTACATGTTCCTTTCAGAAGAAAATCGACTAAATCGACAGTTTTCCATCTATAATGCTTTATTGACTGGACTAGGTGGTGCAACTCAGCTTTAGTCTGCATTAATTTCCGCGTCAATGAACATTGGGAATTTGTGA